GTTTATGAAAATTAATAAAATATAATTATAGAAAAAAAAAGATATTTTACACTGGGAAAAGGACCTCTCCAAAGTGCTGAAGAGCAGCGACGTCAGTCTGAAGACTAAGGTGCACCTGATCCAAGCCATGGTCTTTTCAGATAATGAAAGATGAACAATGACTAAGGGTGACAGAAGAAAGACGGATGCTTTTGAGCTATTAGAGAAGAGGAGTTGGAGAAGAGTATTGAATAGCCCATAGGTTGCCAATAAAAAAAAATGTCTTGGAGAGGGTGCAGCCATGGTGCTCCTTAGAGACAAAGACAGTGAAACTTCACCTCATAGACTTTGGGCATATTATCAGGAAGGGCCAGTCTTTGGCAAAGATATCATACTTGGAAAGGTAGAGGGTCAGTGTAAGAAAGGTTGCTTGACACAGTGACCGCAGCAATGTCTCAAGTGTGCTGGAGATGGTGAGGATGGCACAGGATAGGACAGTGTTCAGATCTGTTGTTCGTCGAGTCATTCTGAGTCACAGTTCATTGATTGATGGCACATTATAACAACAACAGCAGCTCATTAGCCGCTTCCTCTTCTTACTCATCTGGGGCTTTAACTGCTACAGTGCTGACGATGGCTGCCACCTCTGTTATCCAGATTGTTTTTTTGAGCTTCACAATTTCTAACCATACTTCTCTTGCCTAGACTATCAGCTGTGCCATAATCTAATCAACAAGTATTTATTAAGTACCTACTACCTCTAAGGTATCTTGAGATCTTACAAACTGAGCATAACTTCTTTTTTAATTAGCTTTCATCTGGAAACTGCCCTTTCTTGGATCCCATTTATGTGTAAGTCAGGAGAGTCCCCACTCCCACCCACTCCAACTCCAATGGATATACAGCCTGGTTAGTTTCACCTTCTCCAACTCGCCCTCCATACTGAAAATTTATTGATTTTTCCTTCAAAGGGGTAATGAAACTTTTGTTTTATGTTGTACTCCAAATTCTTTGGCATGCCTCTTCAACGTGGTATTCAGAATGTCATTGCTGCTGTCAGGTGGATCTTGGCTGAAAGCAGAGATCCCAGGACGAAGTTTTATTCACTATGTGAAGGCATTTGACTGTGTGGGTCACAACAAACTATGGCTAATACTAGGGGATCCCGCTACTTGACCTAAAGGCGGTGCCTCTCTGGAGGTTCAAATCCTCCAGGTGCCTTGTTGTTGTTGTTACCTGCCGCCGAGTCGCTTGCGACTCATAGCGACCCTATGTACAACAGCCCTAAACTCCGCTCTGTCCTGTGCCAATCGCACTGTCTCTGACACTCCCATCCCAATTAACCCAGTCACTGAATCAATCCACCTCATAGAGGGCCTTCCTCTCCTGCGCTGTCCCTCCACCCTCCCAAGCATGATGTCCCTCTCCAAGGACCGGTCTCATTTCACAACATGTCCAAAGTATGTTAGATGGAGCCTCAGAATCCTTGCCTCCAAGGAGCCACCTGGTTTAACCCTTTCGAGGACAAATCTGTTTGTTTTCCTAGCAGTCCGTGGTATTCTCAATACTCTTCTCCAGCACCACAGCTCAAAGGCATCAATTCTCCTTCTATCCTCTTTGGTCATTGTCCAACTCTCTGATGCATAACAAGTGATTGCAAAGACCATGGCCTGTTTCAGACGCACCTTAGTCTCCAGAGGGACACCATTGCTCTTCAGTACTTTGGAGAGGTCCTTAACAGCAGACTTTCCCATGGCAATGCCCTGAGGGTGTAATTTATAGCCTCTGAAAACCCTCTGGAAGGTCAGCTATGAGTCAGTTCTCATTTAACAGCAATGTGTGAGAATAATTTAATCATTAGCTGAGCAGATAATTCTGATGCCTCAGATTCCTTTTCCAGTGTAAGAATATGATCGTTTATACCATTCCCCCCGCCCCAAGTGGACAGTTAAGAACTGTATTATTCGGGAAACTTAATTCAGCGTGGGGACCTCTGGCAGCCTCGTGGTAAGGAGTTGTGCTGCTAACCCAAAGGCAAATTTTGGTTCAAATCCACCAACTACTCAGCGGGTGACAGATGTGCAATCTCTACCTCTGCGATTTACAACACCTGAAACCCCGCTGGAGGGTCAGCTATGTGTTGGTTCCCACCTGAAGGTACATGACAAAGTCAATATGGATCCTCACTTAGCCAAACTGAATCCCTGTTGCTTGTACCAATTGCCGCATTATCAACACTAGACGGCGCTGCTGCTTCTCTGACTTTAACCAGCACGTTGAGAAGCTGAGCACCGAAGTGTGTCCCGCACAGGGGAGAGGCTGCTTCCCAGCATCTCCCTTTCCGGACAATTCCATCTGCTCTTTGAGACTCTGTGTGTGTATGTAAGGGGGAGAAACTCGGCCTGGCGAAGAGCTGCATCTCCGCCAGGATAGATTTTTCTCACCATCTAAATAAAATTCCTTTACAGGAGAGTGACATCAGGGCCTGGTAGGAATCGAGCCGTTATCCACCTTCCCGATTAAAGGACTCCACCTCCAGGTGACCCCGCGGCACCCCGCCAGCGCAGGGTGGGTTGGCAGTTCTCCAGGGCTGAGCCTCGCGCTCCCCTGTCAGGGGCGGGTCCCCCATTCTCCCCTGCACACCCAGCCCTCTCCGCGCCCCTCTCTCCACTTTCCTCTCCGCGCCCTGATTTTCCATTGCTCCCGTGTGGGGGTTTTTGGAAGGTGGGAGGGTAGAGAAGAGAAGGGCGGGGAAGGGACCCGGCTGGGAGGGGCGTCGAGCACTGTCACTGAGAGTCGCGCCGCCCCCC